CATTGTGGATACCCTAGCTTAAAAGCTGTATATATTGTAAACACATGTGGTCCACAATTTCATCTGTACATGTTCTCTAGAATTTCTAACTGTACACTACTGTGAAATACACAATGCCATTTTAGAGTTGACCCAGACTCTGATGGTTCGAATCCCAGATGGGACGCAACTCCCAAAGTACTAGAATCTGTACTTTACTAAGAAAGTGTAATCCCGATTATAACATATGTACATTACTGTACATTTAGTTTTCGCTGTTTACTACTGTAGTACTATGTGACAGTACTCACATATTTTCGAAATGAGACTCTGTATGTTCCGAGGGTGTTTTGGTTTTTAAATTTTGACGTCAGTGGTATTTTAAGGTCATTCGCCATTTTACAAACCGCGGATCACACATTTTCATTTAGCTCTGGTAAGTATTTATGCCAGGAAGACTTAATCTAAGAGTTTTGATTTTTAATTCGACACTGCAACGTCAGATATTTTATGTGTCTATCAGTTTACCTGGTGGACAGACGGACTAATTCACTATGCTGTGTTCAGATTTGTGCATGAAGTAATGCTTCAGGATAAAACTATCAGTGTATGAAGGTCATTTTTTTGTAAGTTGCATAGATGCAATAGCTTTAGATGGAGCAGATGTTGGAGATTTATTAAACTTGGCTTTGTCAAATTGTAGATTAGTTTAGCCATACTCGGAGATTAAGATATTTTCAATCGTTGGCATGATGCAGAAAGCTATTGGATTAATAAAGTGTTTGCACTATCTTGCTTGGTTGGTTGGTTGGTTTGTTTAACGCCACACTGAGATATATTCCCACTATATGGCGACGGCCTGTAAATAATCGAATCTGGTCAGATAATCCAGTGATCGACAACATGAGCATCGATCTACGCGAGTGAGTGAACGGGTTCAGATTTTACGTCACATCGGCAATAGTTCAGCCATATTGTGACTAAAACTAGTTCTAAATTCATGAGAAATCTATAAAATGTATAAAACCATGTCAACTATACTAAATATAGAAAATAAAGAAAATTCAAATCATATACTAACAATTAGTGATAGGAGATAAAAAGACGCAATATATTGCTAGCAATGGAAGTTGGGGCCATGGGGACTTATAATACTTCTGCTTCCAACACTGTTCCCTAGCTGGTTTAAACTATCCCTTCAGCTGCTAGCGATTGCAGGTAATGTTCGATCTATGTAATGTGGGATGTGCTGACATATATATTTACGACAGGTATTAGGAGCATTGTAAAATGTGTAATTCTAACATCGGCAAGTCGTAAGAGGCAACTAACCTGGCCTGGTTGACTCATGTTATCGTGAGTGAGTGAGTTTGGTTTTACGCCGCCTTTAGCAATATTCTTGCAATATCACGGCGGGTGACACCAGAAATGGGCTTCACACATGGTACCAATGTGGTGAATTGAACCCGGGTCTTCGGCATGACGAGCAAACGCTTTAACCACTAGGCTACCCCACCGCTCCGGTGGAGGTTTAGAGATCTATACTGGAAGAGATATAACTGACAAGTAACAAGGAAATATCCCTAAACTGTATGCTACATGTCATCATATCCAAATTACATAGATCCATGCTCATGACATCAGTGACTGAATTGTCTGGTCCGGACACGATTACCTACAGACCGCCGCCATATATCTGAACATTTTCTGTGTGCGGCGTTTAACAACACCGATTACGCCATTTCGTTTTTTATGGTTTATTCTTAAATATATACTAGCCACATAAAGAAACTGTGCATTGTCAAAATATTATCCCAGTTGATAAGTACGATAACAATGTCAAAGGTACATATAAACTTTAATGGAGGGATCATGAGACCATAACAAGTCGGGAGAATTTCAATTGAAAAGTCAATCACAATGACGTCACGAGTCCACAAGCGGGACAGGGGTCAAACGACCATGTCACAAGCCCAATAACGGGTATGTCCACCATCGGCATTGAGAACAGCAGTTCATCGACGACGCATAGAGCCTATCAAACGTGCAAGGAAGGCTTGTGGGATGTCATGCCAGATTCTCTGAAGTTCTGCTGCAAGGTCAAGGACGTTATCTGGCGGATGAGGAAGACGGCGTAGACGTCGATCCATCTCGTCCCGAACATGCTCTATCGGGGAGAGAGCCGGTGAATTTGCAGGCCAAGGCAGTAAGTCAACGTTGTGGTGTTGCAAGAAATCCATAGCAACCCTTGCCGTATGAGGGCGGGCATTGTCCTGTTGGAAGGTTAACCCAGGGCCGTGACGTTGCAGAAAAGGAATTGTCACAGATCGAAGAATCCGATCCCTGTAGCCCACACCAGTTAAGTTGCCCTGAACAATCACCAAAGGAGTTCTTTGGCGTGCTGTTATTCCATCCCAAATCATCACAGAACCACCACCAAAGCGATCCCTCTCCAAGACACAGGCCTGTGCATAACGTTCTCCAACGCGTCTATAGGCACGTTGACGTCCATCACTATGGGAAATGTTAAACCTGGACTCATCTGTAAAAACAACATTTCTCCACCAAAACAAGGGTCTGCGGACATGATTTCGGCACCACATTCAGCGAGCTTGTCGATGACGTTGTGTTAGGATAGGCCGTATGGCGGGACGTCGTGGTGTGATCCCGTGATGACGTAAACGTTGTCGAACTGTGTTGGGGTGGATACGGCGAAGTCCTGGGATGGTTCGGGCAGTCTGAAACCTGTGGCAAAGATGGGTCACCCTTATCCATCTGTCCTATCTTGGCGTTGTTACGACGTAAAGAACGTGGTCGATCGATGACGTCATTTGCGTTCTGGTAGCGTCTCACCAGTGCAGAAATGGTGTTCCGGTGGCAGTGGAAATGTGCAGCCACTTGTCGTTGAGACATTCCACCACGGACCATCCCAATGGCCTCATGACGTTATGCAGACGTGAGCCTTGGCATGCTATGCGTTTCAATAGCCGTTTACTTTTTTGAACGATCGCAAGGGCAGGGGTTGAGTTTTCCAAAGTGACAGTATTGTGTTGCATTCATTTGCTCTGTTTCTCTTTCCCGGATTGCACGTGCAACAACGTATTGCACGTCTCAAGGACGAACCCACTGACGTCACGGAATGTGGCACGTGCATGCATGCTGGATACATGTCACTAATCTCTGAGTTTATATCTTTATGTGTCTACACAGGTTTGATAAATTTAGATTTTAAATTTTGTATGCACAGTTTCTTTATGTGCCTAGCATACAATTTTTGCACATCAGGTGAAAAAATGCAGAAAAAGACAAATTGACCTTGACGTCATCAGTCAAGATGTCGAGAACATGAATGCACAAAACCATTTAGAAAGTGGTCATGTGTTACATGGCGAGAACATGTGGACATGAGATCATGTCACAAGTAACATGAAATCATTTTCGATGTTGGAAGGAACACAAAATGGTGTCATGAGTTGAGCTTGACTTTTGAAGTTCTAAAAATGTTGGACATAATCCAAGATACATGATGTATCTGATGTGGCCCTGAGGTGACGGGAAGAGGATCGAAAGACACACCTGACAACAATATAACACTTTTATTCATACTTGGCTTGTTAGTTGTTCATCTAGATATCAAAATAGAAACGTTGCTTTGACGTGTCCAATCAAATACTTATTTAGTCATGTGTTAGTTGCAATTTCACAGAAAAGATCATAACTCTATGAGGCTAAAGACTATAGAATACACAAAGTTGTACTTTCCTTTCAGTGAAAATGTACTGACGATGACAACTTACAGGAAAAACCAATACACAGTGAAGTGTAGTTTTTGGAAGTGGGGTCGGTGCACAATATACAGGTAACCAACTGCATATCAATTGTTATTATTAAACGTTACGCCTAATTTTATGAATATTTGGATGACAATATATCCCTGATAAGACTAGTTATCCTTGTGTAATGACCTTTGAACAAATATCAACCAAACGGTGACAGTACACCATCATGACATAACGTCTCCTCTGAAGTAGGTACTTAGTCAGAACATATAAACACTGTTCCGACTTAGAACCGACTGTATACAAGTGGTGCACACACAAAAGGTAAGAGTAGCATATGCTTACATATGAAAGAAACACTCTTTACGAACAGGCGACAGTCAGACAAGACTTACAGATGCAAAACGGGGTACAGATCAACAGATAACAAAGGCTGCTCACATGGTAAGTGAAAATAGATCAAGATTGTCCTATGTGTTTTGAAGAAATGCACAAACTGTCGATTCTCCTGCGTAAACTACGGCTAAGGCTAAAGAATGCAATACAGACAAGTCTAATACATTATACCATACACAATACCTTAGATTTCTTTTGGTTTTTACATGAACATGTCCAACCACAAATAATGTAGCATTTAACACCATTTACACATTGCAGCTGTATGTGACAGTGAGATCCTGTCCGCTGCTTGCAACATCGACTACAGGACATCTCACATTGTCTACAGTAACGGCAGGACACAGTACAAGAGTGGGGGGAAGCTGTTCTTCTCCTGGGATTTGTTCCAACTGTAATGAAGGCTTTTACCCCAGCAATGAACGCTGCAGAAGTACGTGTACATAGGTTTACGCTCTATTCATTTATTCCGGCATATGTGCGTTCTTGAAACGTTCTTGAGTAAAGGTTTACCAAAACCAAGAAATAGCATATCGCCTGTTCAGTTGTCTACTCAGGATAACACTTATGTTAGAATGCTCTTCTTGTCTCCAGTGTGCAGTGCCATCAGTTACTGTTCTCTCGAGACATGCACCAGCAGCAGCAACCAGGTGTGTCGTCGCTGTGAGGGAGTCGTGCTGGACCAGGCAGGACACAGGGCATATGTGGCGTCTTCTGATAGAAGATCATGCACACGTACGTTGCAACTGGTGAATAACGAGTCAACAATATGTCCACTGTATTACCAGTTGGTAATATTTTCAACTTCATCAAAAAATCTTAAAATATTTTACATCTCGAGGGTATATTTGAATCATACTATGGAGGAGTTCTACTTTTCGCCAGTCTTCAATACCTAAGCTGGGTTTACCTATAGATGTTTATCTCAACATCCTACCAGTCCTACATCTGTGTCTACAGAGGCGTGTTCGTGGCGGAGTGACAGCACCCGGTGATATCCTGGGACCTGCAGGAACGAGTACGCCAGTAACTGTGCCTGCTCCAGCGGCTTCACAGGGAAACATTGCCAGACAAGTGAGTTAACGCCCCAACTTTGTGTGTGAATGGCGGGCGTTGCCAGTGGCGCAAGACATGCTTACCTTCAGACAAGACCTGATGTCATCATTGGTTTTCAGTGATTCATTCATGTACTTTTCCGTGTTGTTTTGTTTCTGGATTGTTTGGATCAGTCTCAGTGGATATTCGACACGTCATTTACTGCCAGTGACATAATATATTCAAGCACTTCCTATGATTGTACCTCTTCATTTGTCGAAATCAAATGGACGCCATATGCATATAAGTTTTGACCTGGAAATATCAACGAAATCGTAAATCTGTTGCACTATCGCCTATCTTATTGTTCGTATATATGTACGTGTATGTTACAGTTGTAACGAAGCCCACAATACACTTCAACCTCCTGAGACTGACCGCCAGCAACGGCGACACGACAGAGGCACCTCCCAACATCAACAGTGGTCCATCTCAGTCCACCAGCTGGTCAAACATCAACTCTCCATCCAGAATGTACTACAAGTTTACGGCAGAATACAAAATGGTATCTCCATCCAGACATGCATTCATTGAAGACTTCCGTGTGGGAATTGTCAGTGGTTCTGCTACATTCAAACTAAAGAGAGGTATTTCAGAAGGGCACAAATTGAATATGCACAATAAAACGTTTTGTTGCAGAGCTTATTCATGCATTCAAAGATGGAACCTGTTTTCTAACGCATTAGGTATAATAATATAGTAATCTTCAAATGGCTTTGCAACGGTATGTACCATCCCGATGTGGTAAATATATAAATACAGTATGAAGTAGAATCTACTGAACAATTCCGACTATATCACGAGCATGTTTTGTTTAATCCCCATCAAACAGGGATAACACCATGTGTTGGCCAGAAGGTGAGGATATCCTGAATCATCTAACTGATGTTTTACTGATATTGAGATCATCCCTCTGAAAACCATTATTCACTCACCTGACTGTGTTGTTGTACCAAGGTGCAGGTGTTGTCTCCACTAAGGTCTATAACTGTGGAGGAGTCAACCGAAGCAGCCCGGACACAGACCTGTACACCTGTGAAGGAAACTCACCAGGGACGTCTGTACTTCCTCTACCCTTCCAACACAGAGATGTGTGAGTTCTGGGCAGATGGATATGGTTGAAAGATGTGCTCTGTAAATTAAGGGTACAGCTCAGACTATGTCTGACAAGATGGGCATTTGATTGTTACTGTTGCTTTGTGGTTTCTCACCGTACGGTTATGTTATGACGTTAGTTGTTTTATGTTCGTTTCCGTGGTAATCATGGTGATAATGCCTTTTGTAAATGTTACTATGGACATTCATTTGTAAATGTGTAACAAAAGCTTCTAAATATAGAAGTTCTGTTCGTGTTTACATTCGTCAATTCACAGAAATAACTTCAATACGTAATCACTGAGGTTTAAGTGCCCAGATGTTAGGAACCTGTGTCGAAATAACATAGACACTGTTCACTTTACATCACAAATGCACAGTATGCTAACGAACCGTTTACTTGGTTACTTTTGATTACATTTCCCGCTTTTTAACAGTACTTTGGCGAAATACAGTACTACTGTGTATCAATGCATATAATGTCGATCATAATTATGATTTTCAAAATATTTTCATATTAATGATATTTTCAGTATCAAATTCACTTATTCAACAAGTAATGGAGGGTATGTGAAGGTCCGGGACAAGGAGAGTAACACACTAGCGACCTACTACTACAACGGTGCCACACAGACCCACACCTTTACTGTGTCCATAGACCTGGTGGATCCCTATCACTGTACTGGTACTACTGCCTGTGTTGGCAGCATGCTGACTGTTCCCGATGTTATCAAGACTGTAAGTATATGACCACAGTTATGTTTCACACCCGATGTTGATGGTTTACAGGCAGGGAGATGATTCCATGACTTGTTTCAGCCCACAGTGAACCTCCGCTGGAGTGGCTGGTCAGATGCTGATGCAGGAGTCGACCACTTTGTGAGGGACGTGTATGAACTCCACGCTGTTGGGGATGTACTCAGAGATAAGCGTCGTGTTGACACTACAACCTTGACAAGCTCAACTGTGAGGGATTCATTGATGTAGTTCAAATATTTAATTAGCTTAACTTATGATTGATTAGATGCTTGAAAAAAGTAAATGTTAATTTATACATGCATACATGTGGTCGTGTGATAGTGCATGCGTGTGCGTGCATTTCTTTTACAAATCCTGGTGATAATAAATATGCAGAAAAAGTCTGCCACTTGATTCATCGTTTCAAAGATCTTGAAAGGTGAATTGTCTCGGTGTGTGGTCACGTGTTCACTTTACTGACGTATGTATTGTTTTCATATGTACATGTTTCAGACGTCCAACAGCTACACACTGACTACGGCGGGCGTGTACTCGGTTGTCCTATCTGCCTATGACAAGGGAGGTAATCACAGAAGTACCAGAAGAATAGTGATATATGATGGTACTTCGACTGTGACAACACTGGTAAATACATCTCTCCGTGTGACAACAGCATCACCAGCAACATCAGCGTGGCAAACTACGTCATCATCAGTGACAGTAGACTGGACCAACAGATACATCAACACCGTCCACCACAACAACAAGTGGCTCTTTGGTGTAGCTTCTCTGGGTGACATCAGTTCGGACTATGATGATAACGATGGAAGCAGAGATACAGGTGAAGTCAGAAATGCTCAAGGTATGTGGTGTACTCGAATTCAAGACATATTAGTTAGCCTTTGGTTCCCTTAGATAAATGATTAAAAATCATGAATTGTACAGAGAATCACGCGCGGCATAATTCAGAGTAAATGCAGATTGTCACCTCATTGAAACGCATGTTTCCATATGACAGGGATGTAGGGTAGCCTTGTGGTTAAAGCCTTCGCTCCTCATGCCAAAGACCCAGGTTCGAATGCCCACATCTGTACAATGTGAGAAGCCTATTCCTGGTGTCCCCGCGGTGCTACTGCTGAAATATTGCTTAACAGTGGAAAACTAAACACAATCCTCCACTCAATACGAAAATGATAGTTGGATACTCTTAACACAACTAGGTCACATGCTGAGATGTGGGATCTGTTCTAGGCATCACACGCTTCCTCACATCTTACAAAGTCGACCACCAAGGAGGGTCGTCCATCAACAGTCCACCAGCTGTTAACCTGTTCACTAGTCAAGGTTTGAGTCAGTCACAGACCATAACACCCTCACTAGTGGACGGGGACACTGTACGCTTCTGGGTGCGAGCCTATGACATCAGACGGGAATTCCTTGAAGAACAGGTGACAGTCCATATCGACACATCACCTCCAGTCATAGAGAACCTTTGGCTAAACAGAAGCGGCAGTCTCAACATCAGTATGCATCGGTTGGAGGAACTTCATGACGTTATGTAAGAATGTTGAAAGTAGTTTCGACATTTCACAATTCGCCATTTTCATCTTAATGATGCAAACGTCACGGCGTACCAGCATACACGACCTTATCCTGAAGGTTTTAACGTTGTGTAAAGAGACTATATAATAAGTAGAATGATGTGTAATAATGATATTTGCGAACATAAATCTGAAACAAATTGAAGCACTTCATGAAGCATATCTCTATCTGATTCTAGATTTGAGTTCGATGTGTACGATGGACACAGTGGAGTGGAAACGGTGCAATGGAGAATCGTACAAAAACGGCAAGATGAAGATATGGTGTTATCTGTAAAGTGGATTTCTACTCAGGTCTATCGTGTAAGTGAATGTTTCCTCTTGCTGGTCAGAATTTATGTCAATGGGACGAAGACAAAAGCAACTAACACATCTGTATTTTTACCATTATTACTCATGGACTTTGCATTTCGAACCAGTGAACCTCAATACACAGTAATAACTATTATATGGGTAAAACTCCATTGAAATGTCATCAAGTTTGATGTTTTAATGAATGAATGATTCCAGACTCTGGATGACTGCAACACCATGCATGATGCAAGGGATGGTAACTGTTATTGTACTCCAGCTGGCACATGTTATCACCCCCACTTCCAAGTGAAACCAGCCCTAGCAGACATGAGGGACGTCAAGTTGGCTGAAGGAAAGGATTACTGGTTTCAAGTCACAGCTACAAATCATGCTAAACTCAAAACTGAACAGGAAGTAAAGGTATAAATGGCTAAACTCATACATGAGCTCACACCTGTCATTAATTTGAGTATGTAACATGACCCGTGCCACAGAGTTGAACTAACAATTTCGCCACTTGTGCTCGAGTACAACCTAACCCACAGAAACACCGACTCTGATCAGTTGTCAAAAAGGGCTTATTATAGAGCTTTTGAGAAAAGGGATCATAACTAGACAGACCAGTTACATTACGGATGTAGGAACCTTCACGGGACAAATCTCTGACCCCGATAGTCGAGGCAAGTCTGTTAAATATGTTTGTTAAATCCAGTGTAGTTCCTAAATTCAGTGTTACGGATTAACATTATATTCAAACTTAAATGAGAATGATAACATCATGATGAGGGGCAGTGTTTGCACAGTAATAACATGTGTTACATGCAATTTTGGCTCAGGAGTTATGTATTTCAAGCTTTAACGTTAAAACTATCATTTCACAAACATGAACCATTGGTCCCTCAATCTATACAAGGATACCTTGGTTCTTATTTAATCACATGATAGCATAACACATTTTGCAAGTTTAAGAGTGAGTGGGCGTGGGCTACTGTTTGCACAAAGGTTTAACACATTTGGCAAACATATCGGTGTAGT